GCTGAGCAGCCTCCACCTTCTCTCTGTCACTCAAGAGCATTTCTCCGTTTTCTCCCCGCAGAGGACCTAGCACTTGCTGCTTCTTCCTGCTGCTTTGAACACAACCAAATAAACCTTTATTGCGTGGCAAGTCCCCCTCCCCCCTTGAGAAATAAATACACATGACACGGTATTTAAGGTTAATGGGCGAAAACAGCCACAACTTTATTGATTGCAGGAATTGAGCGGTATTGGCTTAGGCCTATCGGCTATCAGCTGGAGAGGCGAAGAGAGGGCGGTCCTCAGGCACTCCGGGCATAAATAGCCCAGGCCACCACCCCCCCGACCAGCCGATTGGCTAGGCAGGGAGATGACACGCCCGAGGATTCCCTCATTCTTGCGGGGGCTGTGAGCCAGCCCCTGCGTGCGTGGGGAAGGTGTGGGCCCGCAACCCCACCTCCTCTTCAGTTCGGAAGTGGCTTTATTATCTTTCACCTCTCTTGCAAGCCTGAGATCATTCTGAGCTTTAGCCCGCCTGACCTTTCCCCCTGTCACAGTTGGCTACTCATGTATACTCTTCCTTCACAATTCCCCTTTAAACCCACAGTGTGAATGTGGCCTAGGTTAGCCCTCTTGGCCAGGATTCCAGCAATAAGTGGGTCCTGATCCACATCGAGAATAGCAAACAGCTGCTCTCTCCCGTGTTCCGTGCTCTTCCAATGCCCACCTGCCTCAGCCGATGGAATGTCCACATTCAAAAAAGCATGAGAAACTGTTAGCCTGGCCATGGAATTTTCCACCACAGGAGAGGACATTTGAACCGGTATGGTGGTTCCTCCTCCCTCTTTGTCGTCTCCTTTGTCATCTAGAAGTCTCTGGAAATACACTTTAGAAGATTAAATGAGAATTCCTGGGACTAGAGGAATATAATTATTGGGGTATCTTCCTCTCTCTGGTGTCCACCCTTCCTCCTTTTGGTCCTTCTTATCACCCGGAAAGGTGACCACAACAGCTTCTGAGAAGAGAAACTCGTGGCGCCTAGGCCCTAAAGTTGCGGAGGCCTTTAGAGTCAAAGGTTTAAGGACGGCCAGTGTTTTGGTTACCCTAACTCCATTTGCATATGCCAGACAGCAGTGGGCGCTTCACCTTTTTAAACTCTCTCACAACCAAATGATGTTGGCGACTGTCAAGAGAGAGATGGTGGCAGTGGCAGGAATTGCCTTGTGTTTTCTTGAGCACGCTGACAAGTCTAAAAAAGCCTCTTGAGAATTAATGATTGGTGGGGATGTTAAGTCAGAAAGCCCAGTCTGTCTCCTCTCTACTCTAGGCTGTTTAAGGATAGTGAATAGTGGAAGCAAATCATGGCACGTGGCAGCGGTGGCCTCCACAAATGGTTGGTTCTGCAGTTGACGAATCCTGTTATTTTGCTGGGGTTCCTCCTTCCCACCAGCTCATTTCCTGCTCCTGAGTATACGTGGTATGAAGTGATCACCCCAAGGCAGTTGGTGCTTTTGGGAGGGAAAGCCAAGAAGGATGACCTTTCCTATATCCTCAATGTATCAGGAAAGGGCTACGTCATTCAGTTGAAGCCCAGGAAGGATGACTTCCTGGTCAAAAACCTCCCACTCTTCACATACAGTTCCCAGGGCAGGCGGATCGAAAGTCATCCCTACATCCCTGTTGAATGCTACCACGAAGGGCATGTGGATGGCGTAGCCAATTCGCTTGTGGTTCTTAAGACCTGCTCTGGCTTGACAGGATTCCTAAGTATCAGAGACAGAAATTATGGCATAGAGCCTTTCCACAATTCTTCAGCTTTTCAGCACCTTCTCTACCTGATCAACGAACCAAAGCCTTGTATGTGTGGAATGAGAGCTCCAGTTGCAAAGCGTCAGGCAGAAGAACTGGAAAGGGGGACCCGGCGTGACCCAAGGCACCCAAAATACATTGAGCTGTACATTGTTGTGGACGAGAAGCTGTTTCAGTTTGAAGGTGCCAATGAAACCAGGATGGCATACCTCATTTTGGACATAGTTAACTTAATGGGTGTGCACTTCCGGGTGCTGCACACAAGTATTGTCCTGATTGGACTGGAGATCTGGAACACAGGCAACCCTTTTGAGGTTACAAAAGACGTTGGGTTGCTTCTGAATAATTTCAACAGCTGGAGAGTGAACGTTCTTGCGAAGCGGATGAAGCACGACACAGCCCTGTTGCTCACTCACCAGGAGTTCAAGCACACCCTCGGGAAGTCATACGGTAATGCCATCTGCAGGCCAAGCTATTCTGCAGGGGTTTTGAGCTACTTGCAGAAGAATCCAATTCTCTTTTCAAGGGCCATGTCCCATGAGTTGGGTCATCACATGGGGCTTGAGCACGACGAATCCAACTGTGTTTGTGGAGGATACAAAACCTGTGTCATGCATTCGTACCAGGCAGAAACGAACAAGTTCAGCAACTGCAGCATTCACACTTTTGCAGAACTTGTGCTGAAAGGGAACCTGGACTGTCTGGCCAACAGGCCCCAAAAAATACCACCTATCAAGCATTGTGGCAATGGAGTGTTGGATAAGGGAGAAGAATGTGACTGCGGCGGCACGCAGAGGTGCAGGCAGAATCTTTGCTGCAACGCTGACTGCACCTTGAAGCCACGTGCACAATGCTCTTCTGGGCCATGTTGTAAAAACTGTCACTTCCGTCCAAGTGGAGACCTTTGTCGAATTCAGATCAATGAGTGTGACCTTCCCGAGTACTGTAGTGGGAAATCTGAGTGGTGCCCCAATGATGTGTACATGCAAGACGGGACGCCGTGCAGCAAACACGATTCCCATTGTTATGCCAAGCAGTGTTGGACTCACAACTACCTGTGCACCAGGATCTTTGGCTATGAAGCCAGAGCGGCTCCAGCATCCTGCTTTCAGTCTCGGAATACTGTGGGGGATGAGTATGGCAACTGTGGCAGGGATTGGACAAAAAGTACTTTTGTGAAATGCCAGCCTCAAGACGTAAAGTGCGGGAGAATTCAGTGTAGCAACGTCAGATACGTACCTTCAATACCACACTATACCGTGACTCCCACTGAGTTGTCAGGCGCTGGTGCTGGCTGCTGGAGCGTGGCCTACCATGGCGGGACAGATTTTGTGGATCTCGGAATGGTGCCTGACGGCACTCCATGTGGCCCTGGGAAACTCTGCAAGAACCAGACGTGCATTTTCAGGAAGAAGGCAGTGTGTGATCCCAATAAACAGTGCAGTGACAGAGGTGTTTGTAACAACCGCAATAACTGCCACTGCAACAACGGCTGGGCCCCTCCGAACTGCAAGTTTTGGGGGTCCGGGGGAAGCATTGATGGTGGGTCTCCAAGGCAGAACTGGAGCACAAAAGTCGTGAAACAAGCTTTTGAAACAGTGATCCCTCTAGGAGTCCTGGTTCTTGCCGTTATCACTTTCATTGTGCCAAGGCTGTGGAAGCTACCAGGATGGTTTAGGCAATTCACCAGCTCACAGGTTGGAGGGAATCTGCAAGGCAGCAGCCCAGATGTTGACAAAGTTGATTCCTGTCGCTTTTGCAAAGCAAAGGAAGGATTGAACTTTACAGATTCCAAAGAGTAATGCTTGTGGACATTTCAAGGCATCCTTGGACCTCCTGTTAAGACATCGACTGCACTCCAAAGCATCTATAATAAAGCAGAGGTTGGTGGCAAGTGGACTCCAGTTCCCATCATCCCTGGCTGTTGACCATGCTGTGCCAGTGGCTGATGGGAACTGTAGTTCAGCCGTATGTCGGGGGCGGTGCACATGCTCCCTCATCCCAGAAATAAATTTCCCCTGTATATAGTCCTTATAATAGGAGCAATTGTAATACGGTCTTTGCTCTAATAAAATTTGCATTTTCCCCCAGTTGCAAAAGCCTTAAGAAGAATGCACTGAAATAGTTTAATGAAATCAAATGTTTCACTCCGTGCTGTGTAACCTAGCAGTAGTAAAACAGTTTGTCCTTGTTGGGTGACTAACTCAGAACTTCAAGGACCGTTAAGTGTCATTTCACTAGCATTTAGGAACTGGGTTTGCACAATTAACCATGTGTACAAACTTGGCTTTCCCTCACTCGCCCTTTTCATCCAGGGTGAAACAGCAAAGACATAACATGAGAAGAGTCCTGCCGAGTCAGGCCAATGGCCCATCAAGTCCAACATCATGTTCTTACAGAGGCCAAACAGAGGCATGTGGTAAACCCACAGGCAGGACCTGAGCACAAGATTCTCTTCTTGCAATTTGATGGCCAGGGCTGAGGGCAGTTTTGGTTCAAAGCGGCTGGAGGACACCATGTTGGCCAAAACTGAGCTTAGGCTGAGCAAATGATGGAAGAGAGACATGCTTATATGGCTGCTCAAACTTGCCCAGGAGGGAGTCCCATTGCAGGGGTGGCACTTGCTTCCAAGTAAGCATGCAGAGATGTGCACAACTCGCAATGTATTCAAAGGGCCCCCTCGGTGTGTACAAGCGTACACACACACACACACACACAAACACACTGGTGTGGCGTGTGTATGAGTCAGTGATAGCGCAGTAGTTAGAGAGCTGGACTAGGTCTGGGAGAGCTCACAGGGTGGCTCTTGTGCCAGTCACAGTATCTCTGCCTAACCTACCCCACAGGGTTGTTGTAAGGATAAAGTGGGGAGGAGTAGGAGGTAACCCAGCTTGAGCTCTTTGGAGGAAAGATGAGATACGAGAAGAAGAAGTGTTTGGATTTGATATCCCGCTTTATCATTATCTTAAGGAGTCTCAAAGCAGCTAACAATCTCCTTTCCCTTCCTCCCCCACAACAAACACTCTGTGAGGTGAGTGGGGCTGAGAGACTTCAGAGAAGTGTGACTAGCCCAAGGTCACCCAGCAGCTGCATGTGGAGGAGCAGGGAAGCGAAGCCGGTTCACCAGATTACGAGTCCACCGCTCTTAAGCACTACACCACACTGGCTCATATAAATGTTAACAGTAATAATAATATCCAAGACAATAAATGCCACATGTTCCCTTTTGTCTTTACTGTTGAGTGGAAAACGACAAAAACAAGCAGCTCTGAGGAAGAAAAGGTCGGCCCCACAGCAGCCTATTATCACACACATCCAGATTCCAACACAGTCCTGGAATAATCTCCTGTACAGGAACTGCTACAGAATTAAAAGAGGCTCCCCCTCGCCCATATAAATAATGGTTGTCAAACACACCATCCAGGCCCCACGACGAAGCCTCAGCTTTCCTGCTCCACCAAAAGGCTCATTGGGGAGAGGTTGCCGTTGCTGCCGCCGCTGGCCAGTCGCGGTCTTGCTCCTTGTGTAGACCAGTCCTTTTCTGAATGCCAGAGTTCTTGCCCGTTCCCTCCCACCTCGTAGGTTACAGGGAGCTGGACTGGATAAGGCCTCTTTAACATGGCAGGGCACGGGTGGGATCAGGTGGGGAGCCTGGTGGGCCAAGGTGGCTGGGCTGCCCACCTTCCCCTCTGGCAATACGTGGCAGCGAGGAGGGGGTGCCAAAGGAGTGGGAGGAGAGAGTTTCGGGTGCTCAGCCAGAGGGACTCCAAAAGCTCCCTTGCTCACAGCGCCGTGGAGCCCGCAGCAGACTTGGCCTATGCCTGGCGGCCAGCGGCAGGGAGCGTGCTTTCGTAGAACCTCTTCTGGGACCGCAGGAGCGGCGCCTGGGTCTCGCCGTCTTGGCAGGCCCTGTGCTTCATGCAGCGGAACGTATGCTGGGTCCAGCAGTAAACAGCGCAGTTCAGGAGGCCCTGGGATGACGCCGTCAGGGCCTAGGAGAGAGATGGGGAGACGGGCAGGGTCAGTGGCTGCAGCAGAACTGGAGAGCAGCAAAATTCCAGTTGAAGCAGCGGAATCCGGCGGTGCCATTTCAATCAGCTCTCCCCCCCTCAAGACCATGAGGACTAGCTCCTTAATTTACTTTTTTGGGGAAGGAACACAACACAGCACTAAAGCCCTTGATCAGCATGCTGAAGGTCTTGGGTTCGAAACCTGGCACCTCCAGGTAGGTCTGGGAAGGACCCTTGCCTGAAAGCCACTGGTCCAACTCCATGAAATACCGTATTTTTCGCTCTATAGGACGCACAGGGCCATAGGATGCACTGGACCATAGGAGGGGGAGAACAGGGGGGAAAAAATTCTCCCCCTCTCTGCTCAGCGCCCCTACAGCGAAACGGCAGGATAAACGGAGCCCCTTCCATTTCTCCTCCCGCTTCACTGAAGGGGCGCTGTGCAGCTCTCCCTCTCGGCTGAAGCCAGGAGAGTCTTGCTCTCCCAGCTTCAGCAAAAGGACCCCGAAGCCTTTGGAGCGCATCGTGAGGTCCCGCTGCGCTCCAAAGGCTTCAGGGATAGCCACCTGAAGCCTTTGGAGCGCAGCGGGAACTCATGCTGCACTCCAAAGACTTCGGGGTCCTTTCGCTGACCGACCCCTCTCGCTCTCCAGGCTTCAGCGAAAGCAACGTGAAGCCTCCGGAGCGCAGGGGGAGCTCTCCCTCTGCGCTTCGGAGGCTTTGCGTTGCTATCGCTGAAGCCAAGGAGCCTGCATTCGCTCCATAGGACGCACACACATTTCCCCTTAATTTTTGGAGGGGGAAAAGTGCGTCCTATAGAGTGAAAAATACGGTAAGTGAGCCGCAAGGGTATTACCGCACAGAAAGGGATGCGGGTGGTGCTGTGGTCTAAACCACTGAGCCTCTTGGGCTTGCCGATCGGAAGGTTGGTGGTTCAAATCCCTGCGATGGGTGAGCTCCCGTTGCTCTGTCCCAGCTCCTGCCAACCTAGCAGTTTGAAGGCACACCAGCGCAAGTAGATAAATAGGTACCGCTGTGGCGGGAAGCTAAACGGCATTTCTGCACGCTCTGGTTTTTTGTCATGGTGTCCTGTTGCACCAGAAGCGGTTTGGTCATGCTGGCCACATGACCCGGAAAGCTGTCTGCAGACAAACGCTGGCTCCCTCGGCCTGAAAGCGAGATGAGTGCCACAACCCCAGAGTCGCCTTTGACTGGACTTAACTATTCAGGGGTCCTTTACCTTTTACCACACAGAACCTGTGGGCTGCACACTGTCTTGTCGCATGAGGGGGTGGGGTGTGCGAGGCCAAAATTTGATGCTCCCCTCAGCCCTCCCACCTCTTTCCTAAAGGTGAGAAAATGCTAACTAGGTTTTGGAAGGAGGCAGCATCACCCTAGGACCCTGCCAGCGTCCTTGCAGCTCCTTCCCAAAGCCCAGTGCCTTGCTTACCCAGTGCCAGGCTGGGGGGGGGGGGGCTGGCATCAAAAGTTGCCAAGGGCCACCCAAAACAGCCTTGAAGGCCACACACTGGACCACCCTGTTTTATTTCTTCATCAGCTTCTTGCCAAGGCTGCTTGCCAAGGTGATGCTTTTTTCTGTCCCGCACCTGTAAGCTTCTCCTGGAGAATTTCGAATTTAACATAGGCATGGCCTATGCTAGACCCTTGCCAGAAAGAAAAGCTGCCAAGCAGACTTAAAAACGGCAGAGCCAATTGATGGGGATTTTGGAACTCAATCTTGGATATGTGACTGTAAAATTTTAATCTGAAAAGCCAAATAAATAAATTTATGTACATATAAAGGATTTTGGAACTCAATCTCGGAACATCTCTTCCCCACCCCCCACCCCAATATACCTATCAATATTCCTGCCGCGGGAGCCCATCTGCCTCCCCTTTGTAGCTTTGCCGAGGGAGGAATTTTGGGTCCTGAGCTCCTCGGGGCAGAGACCCACCTCCGTCTCTTCCTACTCCGTCCAGCTCCAGGGGCGCCGATGGTTCCAGGCAGGTAACCGCGTCCCAGCCAAGGCGCCGCCGAAGTCGAGGAAGGGCGCCGCCCACGACGATCAGACACTCGCAGGGCAGCTCGTGGGAACTCCGGTTGGCTGGCTGGCTGGCTGCCGCCGTCCAGGCCGTGCAGTCCTGGCTTCGGCCGCCGCCAGGTGAGCGGGGAGGCGGCGCCTCACCTGACTCAGGTGCACGGAGGGAAGTACCTGGGCGGGTCACGTGGCCAGGAGCGGGAGGCGGCGCCGTCGCGGGGTCGCCTTCGCGGGGGAACAAGCGCTCCGGCCGAAGCAGCTCCGGGATCGGGAAGGGCCCGACGGCGGCTGAGCAGGTGAGAGGCGTCGGGGCTGGGTGGAGGAGGGGGGGGAATGATTGGGGGTACCTGTCCCAGAAGAGCCCCACCGCGCGGCCTGGCAACCCACGGCGAGGGAGCCAAGTTCTGCCCGGGACACCTGCCGGACGGGCGTGTGCGTGTGAATTAGTTTCTCCTTCTCCGATCTTGCTCCTTTTAGGGTGATTTTCGTGGCACAGGTAGGGTGGGATAGAGGAGAGTGGGAAATGGAGGCTCCCTCCCCACTTTGGGGTCTGGACCTTTCCTGCCCCCCCGGGCCTTTGCGGCTGCCACCGTCCGGCCCGGACTTCCCTACAAATGGGGGTCGTCTGTAGCCCCCCCCAAGCCCCCCAACCTCCACTTTCCCGTTCTTTCCTGAGCTAGAAGGTGTCTGCAGTCCGAAGCCTCCTGGCAAGGGGGCGCTTCTGTTCTGCCCCGGATCTGGGGCGGGGGGAAAGTGATTTCCCTTTTCTTCCTCTTCCCTCCTCCTCCCCCGCATCCACCTCTCCTGCTCGAGAGGAAACCCTAGGCAGCTTTGCGTGGCATCTGCAAAGAGGCGCCGGAGGAGGAGAGCCGGCTGCGGGGCCGAGCGAAGGGGGAAGAGGAGAGTTGCTGCCACTGCTCGCTGTGACTTTGGCTTCCCAAGCGGCCGAGTTAACCATTAAGCAGCACGCCTGAACTGATCGCAACCCAAGCCGTTGGGAACCCGGGGAGAGGGGGGAGCACCTCCTTGACCCCCCTCCCCTAATCGGGCCTTGCAGGCTGGGAATAACCCACAAATCCTCCAGCCTTTGGGATTGCAATAGTCCCCAGCCTGCTGGCTTCTTGCTGCTGCGGGTGTGTGCCTCGGTGTTGTTGTGTTTTTAAAAACACACCACAAATTGCTATGGCCCGTCAGTGTGTGTTCTGTTTACCGTGCTGGGCTGTGTATCTGCTAGTACTTTTAAAAAACATAATTACTCTGCTAAGCAATTCTAGGGTATGTTTGTGTGTGCACTCTCCTAGTTTAAGGACGTGAGGAGCTGCGCCTTACTGGGCCAGATCAAGGTCTGCTTAGCCCAGCATTTTTATTTTCATTTTTGCAACCGGCGGCATGAAATAGCCTGCAGGAAACTCGCTAGCACTTTACACCTGGTTATAAGGAGGCCAGGGATCCTGTGCCCATAAAAACCCATCACAATGGGATAGGTGGAGGAATTTCAGCCGGAGAAGCACTGGGTTTCCTGCCCATGGTAAGAGAGCTGGTGGTGGTTCGAGGCCAAAAACAAAAACAAAGCAGCTGCACCCCATCTTGCTTTGCTTAATGGCAGTTAATATGCGCAAAACAACAGCTACTACTATGCTATAAGATCCACTGTCCTGTGATATCATATATGAGTTTGTACTACTGATGAAGCCCAGGACAGCGAAACAAGGCTAATATTCCGGAAATCCTTGTCTTAGACTCTGTGAAAGGATTCTGTGGAACTGCAACAACCTTTCGTGTGGATTGTTGGACTCTGTGAACAGACAGGTGGAATAGACACTTTCACATATATGGACCTTATGCATAAACTGATTAGAGAATGAACTGATCCACTGGGTCTTCTACTTTATTCGTTGAACTTTATGAGCTACAGTCATACCTCGGGTTAAATATGCTTCAGGTTGAGCGCTTTTGGGTTGCGCTCCGCAGCGACCTGGAAGTAACGGAACGCGTTACTTCCGGGTTTCGCTGCTTGCGCATGCGCAGACGGTCAAAATGACGTCACACGCATGCACGGAAGTGGCGAATCGCAACCCGCCCAGGCGAGGGTTGTGTTCGCTTCAGGATGCGAATGGGGTTCCAGAACAGATCCCATTCGTATCCAGAGGTACCACTGTACTTCTCTTGTAATCTACAATTCAATACAATGAATAGTGTATATTATTTTTTCAAACGTACAGCCGGTTACGTCTTGTGTGTTTATTTAGTGGCAGTTAATGGCAGCAGTTTGGAACACGCTTGGAATCACCGCATGGAGACCAAAACAGACATCTGGGGTGGTTGCTGTTCCTCCACAAACCTCCATTGCTTTTTGTTTTCAAATTTGACAAATATGCATGGCACCAAATTAATTTTTTAATCCTCTCTTGGTTGACGTTCGCCTTTGATTCCCTGGTTAGAGCCATGCTGACTTCTTGAGATGTGTTTTGCTTATGGGTCGGCCTTCCTGGGGCCTTCATTTCACTTGACAGAGGCCCTTGGAGATGGCACTGAAGTTTCATTTGGGGCTAATTCAGTTATGTCAGACTTCTGGCTGGTACAGCCAGGTTTTCAGAGTAAATAAATGCCCAGGTTTCCAACTTTTCGGACCAGGCATTCGCTAGCAGTATTGCTCTGTTTTTGTGGGCAAATAATTGTGTTTCTTGAGGATTTGGTGACTCACGTAACAAGCCTGAGAAGAAGAAGGGTTGGCAGTCGTCTTTCTCCTGGTCTCTGTGACTCCTTGGCCCTTTGACTGTTAGATGACAGGCAGAAATGAGCAGGTGAACTTTGTTTGCGTGTTTCGAAAAGCTTTACCTGCTGAATTCTTGCTTGACCTGCTGCTATTGAAAACTCCGCTAGAAATTACATGCTCCTGAGTTCATAAAGTTTGTTTTTAAAAAATGCCTTGGATTGGCATATGCTGAAATATTATACAAATAGTTCTCAAGCATTTCAGAACTTTGTATCTATTAGTGAAGTTAGATGCGTCCCTCTCTACTGAGTTCAAAAGGATTTTGTACCTTCTAGTTACCAGCTCCTGAACTGAGTATAGGCAGGTGCTGGTATGCCTCTAGCTATTAAAAGAGAGACACTCAGTAACTATTTGCAGGCAATTATACTTTATTTGCTTTAGGATTATTCCATGGTGTGTTTATTTCAGGCAGGAAAAAGTTCAGTGGTGATGGCAGCTCACCCACCTAAGGGAAAGCCAACGTCATCTAAGGCATAAAATCTGAATGGCAACTACCTTCCACTTGCTGACATGGGGCATAGTCTACCAGGGTGTTCCCCACAGTGGTGCTTTTCCATAATGCCCATTCATCTAAATCAGAGCTGGGGAACCTATAGTCCTCCAAGTGTTTGCGGTACCAAAACTCCCATCATCCATGACCATTGGCTGCGCTGGACAGGCCTTATGAGAGTTGTAGTCTAACTAAACATGGCCATAGGTCCCCCACCCATGATCAAAGTGGGAGCGTTTTCCCCTCAGAGGGGCAGATCTGTCTGTGGTCTTCAATGGTTCCCCAGATCCCTAAGAGAGAAGGGAGAAGAGAGCCCTGTGTGCCATATGGTCTGCACTGTGCCCCCTAAAGTTGCCTGCTGCCCTCGGGCATGGTGGAGGACCTTTTTCTGCCTCTGGTGTTGAAGTAAGATCCAGTTGCCAGTTCAGTCAGCTTCTGCAAGTGGAACGGGGGGGGGTATGGGATATGCCACTATCTTGTCCTTCATCTTGGCAGGGCATGAATAAAGACATAATATATAATAATGATAATAATTTGTTCCTGACAAGGATCCAGCCTCACACTGTGATTCAACGTCACACAGTTACTTCACTCAACATAAAAGGAGCTTGTCATGCTTCCATAGAATTGGTATCACCTCCCATTTTGAAAGATGACTCACAGAAACCTGCAAAGGTCATGGGAATGAGTCTTTGTCTTGAAGCTGCCTTTCTGACCTAGACTTCTCTTTGCCAAGGAATTTGAAACTGCAAGGATGTCTTGCATAGGAGCCCCAGGCAAGGAGCAGAACACAATGCGAATGTTTGCTCTTTCATATGAACACAATGCGAATGTTTGCTCTTTCATATGATAGCACCAAGGTGCCTATCTTATAAAAAGCCCAATAGCTCCTCGTCATGTTGGAGAAGATGCTAAATTATAGGTACATACCAACATATGTGGAGGGAATGTCACAAATTTTGGGAGAGTTACTTCAGATTACAGTTCAGAAAATCCCAATGACTCTAGCTTTAGCCTTACTTAATTTATATACCGGTACTTCAGATATGGACCAATTAAAAAGTAAAGAATTAATAGCATATATATTAACAGCAGCTAGAATGGTAATAGCCAGAACTTGGAAAATTAACTTGCACATTAATGAATATTGATCACTGGTGTAATATAGTCTGGCAAACAGCTATAATAGAAAAGTTGTTGCAAAAACTGAAGGGGGCAAGAGGAGAGAAAAAACAAGACAATTTTTACACTGTATGGTATGATTTTATTAAATATACAAATGAACCAGCATATATCGCACTAGGGTGTAGATATGCAGGCAATAGTCTAGCTCACTCCTATTATTGTGTATTTTCCAAGTTTATTTATTGAAGAATTCATTGGACTGTAAAATAATATGTTTAGTATTTCACACACGTCTAGTGATGCTTTTTGTGCGTCAGATGTAGTGTTTTATGATTTATGTGTGTACACTTGTATAATAGAAAAGCTAAAAAATAAAAGCAAAACAAACAAAAAGGTCTGATCAAACTAATAGAATTATCATGAGGTGTTGGTTATGATGCTAATAGCACAATCCTACAAATGTCTATTCAGTAGTAAGCCCCATTAATTCAATTGGGCTTCCATATAAGTAGCTGTAGGACTGCAGGTGCCTCTGAAAATCAGCTGCTAGGGTCAAAGTAGGGGAAAGCGTATTCATGGTTTGCTTGGAAACTAAACAGTTGACGGGATGGATTGTGGTCTGATCCCAAGAGGCTGTTCTTACCTCACTAATGCCGCTGCTTTCTTCATCTCTTGAATGTCTTGTTGGATCAAACCCAAAAGCCAACCTAGTCTAGCATCCTATTCTCATAGTGGCCAACCAGATGCCTACGGGAACATGAATAATTTGAGATTTTTCAATTAACTGTGGGATAAGAGAACAAGGGGATGCGGGTGGCGCTGTGGGTTAAACCACAGAGCCTTGGACTTGCTGATCAGAAGGTTGGCGGTTCGAATCCCTGTGACGGGGTGAGCTCCCGTTGCTCGGTCCCAGCTCCTGCCAACCTAGCAGTTTGAAAGCACGTCAAAGTGCAAGTAGAGTTTTGGAGTGGTGCTCTTTCCATTTCAAACTACAGTTAGGTAACTGAATATTTCAGTCCTTCCACAACAACAAAAGCCCTGCACACAGAAAATGAGCACATCAGGGAAGAAGACCGCACTTTAGACTTTTTCCTGATAGGCTTTATTTCTCTGTGCAGGGAGTCCTGCCCCCGCCCCCTGCGCCTCAAAGTAATCGTTTCAAGATACAGCCCAATGCTGTTCAGCACTTGATTTTGTTGACTTTATATATAGTGGGCCTGTATGCATGAGAATGGCTGAGAAGCATCAACTTTGTAATAAACTGGTGGGCACCAAACAGGCAGAA